TTTTTTGCTTTTTGCGGCCCCCCCCACCCTCCAAGGCCCGGCCCCTTTTTTTGGCCCCCACCAAGCCCCTTTTTCTCCCCCCCCCCCCCCCCCCGGCCTCTCCCTGGCTGCTTCCCATTGCCCAGAGGCGGACACTGAGGCCTCAAGGACATTTGCCCTCGTCTCTCCTCTTGATTTTTCAAGAACCCCCCGCTCACCACCCCAGACCCCAGGCTGGTAACCCCCTAGCCTGATGGGGGTGGCAAAGAGTCCAGAGAAAGGAAGCAAACTGAGGCTTGAACACCTGAAGTGGCTTTTTTCAGTCTTTAATTCTTTGGTGACACAGGACCCCAGGGTGGGGGGAGGATGCCTGGTCAGGGGGTTCAGGCAGATCCTCCTGCTCAAGGACACTTTTCTGGGCATCACAGGTAAGGCACACCTGGGGGGTTGGGTTCCTTCCCCGTTGCTCCCCTTCCCCCAATATCTGGTCTGAGCACGGGCAATTGATTTTGAGCAAAAACTCGGACTGAATAGAGGGCGAGCCGTCTTGGGGGAATTGATCCAAGACCAGCACCTGGCTGGTGTCGCCACCCCGGCCACCCTCAGCTATGCTGGCGGGCAAGGAGGATACAGTGGGAGCTGGGTCTTAAGGCCCAGCTAGGACGTGCCACTTGGCACCGAGGGGCACCGAGTCTGAACCCCCACCCGTGGAAGACGCAGCATTCAGCATGCCGCAGGGATACCTGGCTCCAGGGCATTTCATGTATAGGAGTCATGGGCCAGTGGCTGAGCAGGGGCTCGAGGGTCCCCCCCCAAGTGGATCAGGCACTGCCGGACACAGTGCCCTGTTCTGAGCTGACGCTAGCCGCTCCCCGTCTGAGGCCACGCAGTGTCGCGATGGGAACCCACATGAATTGCAGCTGGGAAAGGGCTGGGTGGGTCTGTGGTGCGCCCTCCCAGAGGCCACACTGGGCTTTTCAGAGGCTTTCCCAGGATGTACAGGAGAAGGAGGGGCAGTGGGAAGCCTGGAGTTCTTGGGCTGGTAGGGGACCGGGGTGGCTGCTTCCTTGGCCTTCAGGAAGGGCCTGTCTGGTCTGGGCCAAGGCTGTCATGTTCTGAGGCTCATCAATAGACGCCCAGGACGGACCTCCTTTTCACCTCCTGGCCTCAGCCCAAGGTCCCTGCTCTACAAGGCTCGGAGCTGGGAAAGCCAGCCGAGTCTTTTCATAAATGACCAACAGAGAATCTCCACCCGCTTATCCCCAAACAAGCACAAGTATGGGGTCCTCCCACGCCGCAGGGTGTGGGCGGCAGGGCCAGAAGCTTCCCGGAGAAATCCCGGAAAGCTGAGGCCAGGTACCTGCGGCTCAGTCTCCTCCCGCCCACCCACCCTGCTCCCTGGCCTCCTTCCCTAAATCTTTCCAAGATATCCTCAGGGGGACTCCGGGTCCCCAAGTGGTCCCAGCCCAGGCTCTGGGGAGTGTCCATGGACATAAATTAGACTCTGCTGTGGCAATAAATAAAACGGGGAGGCCTGGAACGCCAGGCTCAGGCCCGCCCCGCGGGCTCACACGAAGTTTCTCCTCTCTTCCTCGGCCGACTGGGCACCTGGCTGCAGTGGGGGGCCTGCAAGGGTGGGCGGTGAGAAAGGCCGCGATGAGGACTCGGAGCAGGCGCTGGGGGTTAGACCCGCTGGCCCGGGTTAGGCTCCCACCCTGCGCCCGCACCTGAGCAGTTGCCGGCGTGGCGCACGCCGATGGAGCGGCCCAGGAAGCAGGTGGCCTGGCGCAGGTGACACAAGGAGAGGTAGGTGACGTTGTTTTTGCCGCAAAGCTCCTTGCCGGGGCTGGACGGCACGGGGCAGGGCTCCGTGCGACACAGCACGCAGTGCGCGCTGCCCGTCTGGTCCACGACGCACGACTGCGGCGGCGGGCACATCACGCGCGTGCAGGACTCTGCGGCCGGGGAGGGTTGGGTCAGGGGCCTCCCAGCCTGGACAACCCACTGTCTGGGTCCACATGCCCCTCCGCCTTAGCGAGCCCCGTCCCCACTGCACCCAGAAGCCACTCGCCATGCAAAGCCCCGCCGCTGTGGTCGCACCTGCAAGCCCCCTCGTACCGCTCGCCTCGGGCCAGCCCCAGAGGCCGCCTTTCCACATCCCAGCCCCACGCTGCTCACTCCCGACGCCCCCACGAGGTGGCCACCCAGGTCCCGCCCACCACGAGCCCCGCCCCAACCCGGAGCGCA